ACCTATTTGGGCTATGTCCATCATATATCATATATATTTGTATAAGTTCTTACAACATACATAAGTTATGTTTTAAAATCGCATAAGTTTCTATAAATATATATAAGTTATGATTTATCAAATTTTTATTGGTTAACGGACGTATATTTGTGAAAAAATAATAATTTTGTGAGGTATCTTACATATATTTATGAGAATTTATATAAATACATATAATACACACTTGTACACTTAAAAAATTATCCTTTAAAATATTACGTATAAAGTGTATTTCCCCAAAATATTTATATATTAATAAAAAATACATATTTTTAAAAAAGATTTTCAGACAATAGACACCCTTAATCAGGAGTTATCATTTAGCTTGAAAGCCTCTGGAACTTGACCCATGCTTGCTCGACTGGAGAAGCTTCTATTCGCGCTAAGCCCATCTCCTGCAAGCATTGGTAATTATTATTATAGTATTGTCAAAGTTATAATTTAATGATTTATAATAGTAAATTGTCTAATTATAATAATAGTGTTCTAATGATGCAAAATTATTTTGGCAAAATTCCAACCAATTTTCCCTTTTATTGCAAAGGTTGTGTGGTGGGTGGAAAATGTTGTCGTGGAATGTGTGGGTAATATCAATCAAGAAAAAGAGATATAATATATATATATAGAAAAGAAAGAAAGTTGGCAAAATAGTGGGTGTGCTTGAGTGGAGAGAGAGTTTAAAGTGTTGGTTAGTGGGATCATGTGGGTAGCTGATGAGAAAAAGTTGTCATCTCAGAATAGCAAACAAAGGAGAGACCATCCAAAGATCAAGCTCCTGACCATCTTCTCCATGGACCACGACTTCTCCACCCCACTTGTTTCGGGAGCAGACGGTGAAGGCGATGTAGCCCCCCCGTTGGTCGGCGCTGGTGCTGCCGTCGGCGGTGCCGGAGGACTCACTGCCAACGGCGACGGCGACGGAGATTTTGGCTTCTTGCGCGGAGCTGGGGCCGGAACCTGAACAGGTGGAGCAGCAGCAGTGCAAGTGGAGGAACAGCCGGAGGAGGAGAAGCTTTTTGTTGGTGGAAGGTTCGGCCTAAGAAGAACATGAAGCAGTCAAGGTGAGTGACGCTGTCTGTGTGTTTTCCGGAAGAGAGAGTTGCCGAGAGAGAGAGGTGATGGGTGTGTGTGTGAGCTGCTGGGTTTGTGTTAGAGAGAGAAGAGAGAATGGTGTCTATGTGTGGCTGGTCTGTGTTGGGTTTGTCCAGCGGGCGGCCAAGGCGAGATTGCCGCCCGCCGGTGGAACGAAAATATTAGGTTCTTAACCTAGCTCTGATACCATGTAAGATTTAATCTATAACATGTATAGATAAAAAAGGAAAGAATAAATTGTGTATTGATGGATGTGTATATTGTGTATATTACAAGGATTTATATAGGAGAGGAGGTGGTAGGTGGAGTGGGTGGTAGTGGAGGTGGTAGGTGGAGTGAGTGGTAGTGGTAATTTACATTTACACAATTTACATTAACAGGATATAATTTTTTGAGTGACTTTTTTATTTTTATTTTTTTGTCTTTTATGTAATTTAAAACAAAAAAAAATTCTAAAAAAATTAATATTTATATTCCACCCCAACAAAACAAATATAAAAAAATTAAAAAAATTTCTTTTTGAAAGAGAACTCTTTGGAACACTAAGGACTCACTGGAACACCAAAGACTCACCGACACATTCTCATTTACTCTACTCTGGTATAGTCTCTCTCCTCTCTCTCTCCTTCTATCCTACTCCCTCATCTCTTCTCCATCGCCATCACTACCACCATAAGATCTTCATCACCACAACCACGCCTCTCCCCCCCTTTTTTTTTCTTTCCCCCTCCCCTTTTTTTTTCTCTCTCCATATTTTTGCAAATCACCAAAACCATGCCCATGTCCAATCTCTCTCTAAATCTTAACCCTTGAAATCAAAATTCTGTTGTATTTTCGATCTATGTCTAAGATAAATCAAATTGGTTGATTTTTAAAAACTTTTTCTAAAAAAAAAAGAAAATACTCAATCTCTATAAACAAATTGGTGAATCCTAATTTTCTAAAAAAATGGTTAATTATGTTTTTTAAAAAAAATTATCTGTTTTGGAGAGTTTTTTTCTAGAATATAATGAGAAAGGAAGGGAGGGAAGGAAGAAGAAAATAAAGGAATGCAGTTGGCTTTGGGTCAGCTGACAAATTTGACATTTATCAAGTTTGACAATTGCTATATGGAATCAATGGAAAATCCCTTTTTATCCAAAATTGTTGTATTATAACTTTGACAACTCTAATAACAAATCATTGGAGATACTCTAAACAAACTAATCTAACCTGAATTTGACTTAGAATGATTTGGGTATCACTAAAATAAATTATTTATTGACTTATTTATTAAAAAATAAACTATACCCAAATCATCTAGACTGGCTAAGCCTAAGTATTGAAACCTAGAAGCACCAGTTGGCCAGTTGGTTACAAATATATTGGCTTAAGCTTTATTTGGCATAACCTATTTTAGTTCATCTTTTTATCTTTTTATTTTTTTTGAATCACATCAATCAGCAGTCCACTCTACTTTTCTACACATCTTTTTATAAAAAACCAAAAAATATACTTATTTAGAATATCCCAAATCACCCCTTATTTGTATTGACCTTACTCCTCATAAAAAATAAAAAATAAAAGGTCCATCAAACTTAGCCCACGAATGAATTTGGACACCATTTTCGCTTGGCTACTGGGGAATGCCAATCCTTTCTCTTGTGATTTGATCATGAATTTAAATAAAAATTAAAAAATATATAAGACAAATTTAAATAAAATATAAATTTTTATTTTTTTTCTTATTGTCATTCATCCATTCAATTTTATTTTCTTGTTTTCATTTATCCATTCCCTCTGATTATGCCGTTTGATCAACGGATTGAAACATTATGGCTCATTTTTAATTGGGACATTTATATATAAATTTTAATTTATGAACTTATAATAGTCATAACTAAGATTTTTTTGATTTTCAAGTCCTATTAAATTTTTAATAGTTGAAATTGACTTTCAAATAATGATTGTTCATCATTTATGATTATCTATAAAAGAATATAATGGTTTGACGTGTATTTTGATTTTTAAAATTTTAAAATATCAACTTTCAAATTGAAAAAACTAAATTAAAAAAAAATTATGTGCAAAAAAATTTTTTTGAAAAATTGAATTATTATTTTTGTACAAAATTGAAAATTGTGTCTATAAAATAACATAATGATGGAACATTGATGTGCAAAAATGGAAAAAAAAAAATTAAATTAAATTTTAAAAAAAAAACTAATCAATGTGTTTAGTTTTAGTTTTCTGGAAACTGAGTTTTTTATTTTTCATGTTTTTTTTATTTTTAATGAATATTTTTTAAATTTTAAATAATTTTTTTTATTTTTTTAGATACACCTTACTTAGATGTATCTAAACAATAAAATATTTATGAAAAAAATAATAGATACAGAAAAATAAAAAAAAAATGTACTGAATTTTTTGTTTGTTTTTTTTATTTATATTTTTGGTATTTAGTGAATTTTTTTCAAAAAAAATCACGAATATTATACTTTTTAATTGTATTTATGTTAGGTGTATTTAAATATTAAAAAAATTAACTAAAAACAAAAAAAATATAGAAAATAAAAAAGAAGAATTTTCTGAAAAGAATTTTCTAAAAAGTGTTTTCTAGAAACCAAAACCAAACAAGGTAAATAATGTTCTCAGTTTTAAAATTGAAAAAAAACTGATAATCTTCTCAATTTTATTAAATAATTGAATCAAACCAATAAGTAGAAAGGCAAAAACGTTTAACCTCATGTTTTGTTTTTTTTTCATTTGTTAGTAAAACAATTATTTAAAACATTACTATATAAAATTGATAATGTTCTCAGTTTTAAAAATTAAAAAAAAAAAATCTAATCACTATGCTTGGTTTCACTTTTCAAAAAATATTTTTCAGAAAATTATATTTTCTTATTTTCCATGTTTTTTCGTTTTTACTAATTTTTTTTTAATATTTTAAGTAATTTTTAAAATTTTTAGACATACCTAATTTAGATGTATCTAAAAAATAAAAAAATTGTAAAAAAATCTTTTAAAAATTCACTAAATACCCAAAAATATTTATTAATTTTTTAAAATATTTTTTCACAATTTTTTTACTTTTTAAATACATCTAAGTAAGGTGCATCTAAAAAGTAAAAAAAAAAATGTTTAAAATTTAAAAAATATTCACTATAAAAACAAAAAACACAAAAACCAAAAAACTTAATTTAAAAAACTCAAACCAAATATTCTCAATTTTACTAAATAAAACTTATTAATTCAAAAAGTCTTAAATAAAGCCTGAGCTACCATAATATTTATAAATAAGACTTTTAAATAATTAATCCTTTTAATTTTTTGTAGCACATAAATTGTTCCAGACGAATACAATTTTGTCTACAAGTTCCTTGAATTTTAAATTTGTCATGGAAAAAATGTATGAAGTAAAAAATTTTATCTTCATTTTACACTTATCAATTGTTTCATCTCCACAAATTGTTTCATAAATCCATCATTCAAACACAACATTAACATTATATTTAGATTTTAGAATTGTCGCCCCAAAAAATATATAAGTAGATGAAATAATGTAAGGTAGTGTTTTGTTTTAAAAATAAAATAATCATTTCATCATAATACACAATTCCATATTCAATTCAGTAAAAAGAAAATAAATATTGACGGTAAATATAATCGCCATTCACCAATCTAGTAAAATGAACTAGTCTAAAAGAATAACTATTCCATTGGAAGTCCAAAAAAAAACCATTTAATTCATCCATAACACATCCATTTATTACTCTCAACCCTCAAACAGGAAAAATAATAATAATAATAATTTACCAAAATCAATTTTACCAATTACAAACAATCTCAGACAAATAAAATAAAAGTGACAAATGCTAACAGGAGGCTAGACAAAAGTGCATCAATAACGTTGCAGCAATTCCTTTTCTAAGAATTTCACAGTTTTCTATTTGACACTAATAAACAATATTCCATTCAATTACGAACAAAAAACATTTATGACTCAAGCTGTAACATTTTAAAGCAAGAAAGTTTACAAGGAAAGACCATCACAATAAAAGCTGTCAAAGGAGAGAATTCACATGTTCCTCCTGACCACAAAGCCGGGAAAGACAACAATATGTTTTGGGATGCCAAAATCCCCCGGCAACAAATTGCAAATAGAACTATATAACTGCAACTACAAACATAATCGCAACTAGAAACACTCAACATCCAAAAGGCTGACCGACTCGCCAAAAAAAGAATCCCAAACTTCTCAAAACATGGGTTTAGAGAAGCAACAGAACCATACCTGCCACATTAATGTCTGTACCCACGATCTAACACTTTTGGCCTTTGTGAGAAACCATAGCTAGTCCAGCAACCCCTTCAGCCACACCTGACTTAGACCGGACCAGTGCAGGACACAAACAAGATGACACGACTCCTGACACAACCCCGACTATTATCCCACTGGGACTTCAATGGCATTAGCTTCCCAGAAGTCCTGCAAATTTCAGATTTACATGCTTCAAAACACAAAGGATGCATACACAATCATCGTGGTTAGAATCTTACGATTCACTATTTGATTCATACGATTTGATACGACTTTCAACAAAAACAATTTGATTCATGCTGTTGAATCTTAAATTGTGCGAATCCTGTGATGCAATTGCAATTTGATGAGGCCTCGTTTGGCAACATCACTTTTTAGCATAAAAGTCAAAAGTCAGTAAAAAAAATCAAAAAACCAACCTCCTATACTAAAAAGTCAAAAATTCTCTTTTTTTTCTACTTTTTGTACATCTTTTCGTACAAACTAAAAAATTATCCCAAACATATTAGTTTTTTTTAGTATAAATTACATTATACCCCCTGAGATTTACTTAAATTACAAATTACCCCCTATTGTTCTAGAAATTACATTATACCCCCTAAGATTTCTAATTTTATAACAAATTTTATTAATAAATCATCAAGTTAATTAACATTTAATAATGTTAAAATTTTATTTCAATTAATAATTTAGATAATTTTATTATTGTATAGGTAAACAGTTAGAAATTTCATTTTTTCAATTTCTAATTTTATAACAAATTTTATTAATAAATCATCAAGTTAATTAACATTTAATAATGTTAAAATTTTATTTCAATTAATAATTTAGATAATTTTATTATTGTATAGGTAAACAATTAGAAATTTCACTTTTTCAATTAATTTTGTTAAATAAAAAATTCTGACAGAGAAGTTTTTATAATTTTCCAAACCACGTATTTTAAGCAAACCTCAGAGGGTGTATTTGTAATTTATCTTTTTTTTACATCATATTTTAATCAAAAAGTCAAAAAAATACCAAAAAGAACCTGTTCCCAAACGAGGCCACAGTTTTGTTGGCATAATACATTAAACAACTTAGTTTTTGCAAAATAAAAATAAAATAAAATAGATCATCAATTAATTATATTGATATACATAATTTTATATGTATATATAATTTAATTATATTGATTTCATTTCATTTTGAACATTTTCTATTTTTTTTAATGTATACACATATATTAAATTATATATTAAGCTAAATAAGTAAATCTTACGATTCACAATTCACTATTTTAACAAAATGATTCACGATTCGATCTGACAATATACAATGACTAAAATGGTAAAGCATCAAGTAAGTTGCACACACCAATCCAACACATTTTTAATATTATTTCCATTGTATTTTTTTTGAAAATATATATTATATTGACAACCATGTATCGAACAAATATAATTCATCGTAATTAAGTATATCTATTTATCTCCGTCCACAGGTTTGGTTTTTTACTTTCCTTCAGGTAAATGATGGGTTCATTGAATTCATTTTGATACAGTAAGTTTTTTTAGATGGGGTCAATCAATTTTGATATTTATCTATATTTATTTATTTATTTATTTTGATAATTTCTTGTATTTTCATCGGATCTGTTCATTTTAATGTTCAGAATCAATTCTTTTTTTTTTTTAGATTTATTGTTTTGATTGTCTCGTATAATTTCTTTATTTATTTTGATTTTGATTGCATCTACACACCCTTTTTATTCTATTCGGATTGCTAACTCAAACGGTAGAGTACTCGGCTAAAATAGTAAAGCATCAATTAGGTTGCACACACCTTCAGCTGAAGTTGAATCCACCAGATGGAACAGGAAGATCACTCCCTCCAAATTGGAACCCTGGTTGGGATGCATCACCAGGTGGCATTGTCTCATCATCTTCCTCCAACCAATATGTCTCAAGAATCTTCACCGCCTTCTCATAAATCTCATTGTTGTCATGACTCTGAAGGTTCTCAATTTTCTCTAAACCATCAGCATCATCAATCATTTGAGCATAGAGATTCACATCTCCAGAACTACCCAAATTCTTCTCCGCTTCACCAACCTTCAGAATGTTTTCAAGCCCCTCTAAACAAACTGTGACAATCCTCGGATCAGGACAAACAAGAAGATCACATAATGGCTTGATACACGCTTGGCTCACAAAATACCTGTCACCAACAATTGAATGAGACCTGCATATTGCAATATAATTGTGGTATACTCAAGACTAGGGAACAAATTTGTATTGATATCATACTTAATTTGATCATGGGTACCACCCGAGGTAGCATTTGAGAGTGCCCAAGCAGCCTCTTTCTTGATATCAAACTCTGCATTTTGAAGTAGATGAACCAGAGGGCCGATAATATTAGCTTCAATCACAGCCTGTACAATTTCAAAAATTATGATCAACCATCATACATAAATGGATGAAAATGACAAATAATACAATTGGTCATGTTTCACATGAATACGGCCACTACTGAAGAAATAAACCCGACACAACCAAAAATTATGGCCAGCAAATTGATACCTTCTGATCTCACGAATACCCCACTGCTAAATAAATAAGGGTGAATTACATTAATAGTCCCTATAGTTTGGGGCTTGTGTCACTTTGATCCCTGACTTTTCAATTGTGACACATTTGATCCTAAATTTTAAATCTTATTCCAAATAAGGACAATTGAAGATATCATTAGATTTTTCAAGGATAAAATCGTCAATTTGATAAAATTTAAACTAAGTTGACAAAAATAAATGTCAAACAAATATTTTTGAATTTTTTAAAATTATTTCTATCCACTAAAAATAAAATTATGTAAAATTGATAAATCTTTTAGACATTTATTTTTTTTTTACCAAATTAATTTTTATTATGGGTTTGGATGATGATTATGTAAAATTAATTTTTAAAAATTAATCATGTAATTTTTATCAATTTTACATAATTTTATCATTGGTAGATAAAAATAATTTTTAAAAAATTAAAAATATTTTTTTGACATTAATTTTTGTCAAGTTAGTTTATATTTTATTAAATTGACGATTTTGCCTTTGAAATTAAACAATGGTATCTTCAATTGTCCTTATTTGGAACAAAATTTAAAATTCATGATCAAATGTGTCACAATTGAAAAATCAGGGATCAAAGTGACACGAGTCCCAAACTATAGGGGCTGTTAGTGTAATTTGCCCAATAAATAAACACAACAGCCAAATTATGGCCAAAATTACCACTTACCTGAATCTGCTCCTTGTTGCCAGCAGTGATGTTTGAGATAGTCCAACAAGCTTCCTTCTTGATGCTCTTCTTACTAGTACTGGTCAACAGGTTCAAAAGATAGGGTAGTGCTTGATGGTTGATGATACACTGGAGAAATAGAATAAAAATCCATCATCTAGGAGCTAAAATTTCACAGAATTCATAATTGGAACATAATTTTCCATATTAGGTAACTTTTCTTTGAACTTGACCCAAAACAAAAACAAAACAAAAAAGTTCGCTTACAAAAGACATAAGACAGGTTTCTATAAGGCATAACCACTTTAAAGAGACTAAAACACGGAAACAATTTTAAAATAATCCACCAAATGTCAGTGTTTGAAGGCCGCTACAATAAAAATAAATGGTTTTTTTTTAAGAGCATCTCCAACGGTGCATCAAATTTTTCAGCAAATATGAGTAAAAATTTGAGTAAAAGTTTCATTTGATATCAAAGGTGCTCCAACGGAGGTTTTTGAAGCTTCACTAAAACACCGGTCAACAAGGCAAATGACCGGCCAGTGTAAATTTTTCACACTTTTTTGCCTTGAGGTGGTCATCTGGGGGGTCGACCGGTTAGTGTAATTTTTTCACAAATTTTTGCCTTGACGTGGTCATCTGAGGGACCTCCGAACGAACATCCTGTGGTGAAAATCAAACGGCTATGAACATTGATTTCATAAAAGACATATTGGTCCTTAGTTTGATGAAAGAAAAGTGAAATTCTGGATTTGATACCGATTTGATACACCGTTGGAGATGGTTTAAAAACGGTTCCAAAACTTCAACTCTAATTATGTATTTTTACCTCAATGAAGGATTCTCATAATTCAATTGCTAAAAAAAGCCAGCTAGAATTGAATATCTTAGATGTTCCATACAATCAATTCTAGGAGACCCCACAACATTAGACTATCCAATTATCAAATTCCAATCTCAATGGAGTCTCAAAATTCAAATTGCTAAAAAAAGGGAGTCAGAATTGAATATCTTAGATGGTCATACAATTAATATCTCATCTAGTTATTAATTTTTTTTCAAAAAATATGGTTACCTCCAGCCTTCAATTTACAAAACCTCGCATGTCACAACCAAGTTAAGATTTTTTGACTGGCAATGCACTTTTGTCATCCAAAGCATGCTGCCAATTAGGCCTATTCTAACTGATAGAATAAAGAGTCGAGAAATGTCCCTTGGGACTCAGTTCTATTTTGATATACTATTATTTCTGTAGAACTGAGTCCCACTATTTTGATATACTATTATTTCTGTAGAACAGAGTTTGGTGTACACTCGAAATGTCCCTTGGGACTCAGTTCTATTTTGATACACAAATGTGTGATGACACGAACGAGGTCCAACAAATAAATAAAGGAACAAAAATAATTAATCATCTAAACCACCAATTCAACTCAACTACCACTAAATTTAATCAGCTAAGATGACACCAAATATAGTCATTCGAATTTTTAAAACTGGCAAAGTGTCAAGAAATAGAAAATTAAGAAGATGTAAATATAAAGAAGGGGTTCTGGTTTAAGTTAAACTGACCTGAGCCCTTGCCTGATGAATTTATTACTACTATCTTTTGAACTTTTTTCTACTAAGACGACCCTAGAGCACAGCTACTTGAATTTTTTTATCACGTCCTTGAGACTCACAAGAAATTCAAAGTGACATACATCTGAGACCCTGCCAAATCAAGTTTTATTTTGATATACTATTATTTCTATATTTCTTAAGTCACTATTGGTTGAGATTTATATGTAATCTTGAGTTTCATCAAGTCGAGTGTTTTGCAATTATTCTTTTTAATCTTGCATAATGCTATTGGTTTAACTTTTTCTGCGGGACTGGTTAGAATTCATTAGTCCTGTCACAAAACCTTTTTTCCCAAACATTTAGTATTCACATACAGCTGCGTTCATAAAAACACTACTATATTCATGAAATATATATCATCTTAAAATTCAAACTATAGCCATTTCCTATGTCCAAAGCCCATAACCTTATATTCTACCCCCTAACCAACCCTGAACCTATAAATTACATGTTACCCTAATACACCAGGAAATAAAAAAAAAAATAGAATCATACTCCACAATGTGTAACATATCAAATTCTCTTAATAAGAGTCAAGTGGTTTAAACAATGTATATTGAATTTGAAAATCAAACCATAACCATAAATATACATTACTCTGGAAATGCCATACAACAAAATATTTCAATGGTATTATCTTCATTTTGAAATGAAATTAAAGGCGAGCCCAAACGAACAACAAAATAGTTAATGAAAATTTCACAAACAATAAGAACGTCAAAGACCCACGACCTCCAACACTCCCTCCCCTTTGGGAGGGAGCGAGAGAGAGAGAGAGAGAGAGAACACCCAAATGCTGGCCAAGCCCAACTCATGAGAAAAAAATAGCTTGTGTGGAGAGGAGCAGGGACCTCTGCTCCACTGCTTCAAATGGAAGGTACCGACGGCATACTAAGGCGAACTTCAACATTTTTAGATCGGCTATCAATAGTCAAATAGAAAAATTCTCATTGGTTCTATTGACTTGCAAAATTGCTACTCGCACATGTCCCACAAAAGGAAAAGAACGATTTAATATTTAAAATGCAAAACAAAGTCAACTATCTATTATCACACCAAAAAGCTAATAAAAAACAAAATTGATAGAACCCAAAAATGGTTCCTCCAACAGAATAAAAAAAGATTAAAACTAAAAACCAAAGCATTTATAGAAAAATAGTCAGCGAATGAAGTGTACACATTCCAAATAATATGATAAATTTCTCGCAAGTCGCATCAATAAATCAATAAGCATTAAGAGAAAGCAACACATGGCACCATCCAAGTAAAATCCACAAGATATCATTAACAATCAAGAATGAGATAATATGCCTCCGAATTGTCTAGTACCTGAGTTTGCATGTCATCCCCAGTGACAATGTTACCAACTGTACGAAGGGCAGGAATGAGCACTGAAGGGGAGGGGTGACTGACATTTCAAAAAAACTCCGTGTTAAGATACATAACCCATGAAGAATACAGAAGTAATCCACAACTAAATGTACTCAACAACAATAAGAAGTAAAATTAAATACTCACAGTAAAAGTTCAACCAGCCGGGGGCACGCATTTGCATCAATAACAGCTTGAATTTTATCATTTGTACCATCTGAAAGATATGAAAGGGCCCAACATGCATCAGTCAGAACTTCTTCATCATTCGAATGAATAAGATGTTGAAGAGCTGGAAGTGCTGGCTTTGTCTGTCCAATTAAATTGGAAACAGAAAACAGTAAGAAAAATATAAATTTATAGGTGTCAAATCATCAGTGTTCAATAAATGAGATAAACATAGTCCTAAAGACATGAATGCAGAGTTTCTATAATTGATTACACATTCGCCTCTAAAAACCTTGACATGGGCATAGACAATCTAACCATATCTGTTTAAGAGCTATGTCTGAAGAATTAGACACGTGCGTAGGGAAAATCTCAAGTCCCAAAAAGCAAAATACAAAACAGAAACAGCACATCCAAGAGACTGACCTGATCAAAAGCAGGTTGTGGCTTTCCCCTACAGAAGTTTGAAAGAGTCCATGTAGCATTTCTTAACATGGATAGCTTGGCATGCTCATTTAACTGCGCCAGCAAAGGAAGCAACGCTCCATGGCCAAGGACAAGATCACGGCATTTGGCAGAATCCCCAGCAACATTTCCCAAGGCCCATACTGCCTACATGTCCCAAAAAAATGAATCCACAGCCATCAATTGTACTTGCAAACTTAAAATTATCATACTACTAAATTTTTTACTTTAAAACACAATCCAAGAAATTGATAGTTAACATTATTAACAAAAGAAGAAAAAACTTTAAAATAGGAAAGCAAAAGCGTATCTTTGCAAGAATCTACCTGCTCCCTAACATCGTCACTAGAAGAACCAAGAAGTTTCACGAAAATTGGAATAGCCCCATGATCAATTACCACCTTGGTATTCTCAGATGTTCCCGATGCAATGTTTGTCAGTGCCCAAGCTGCCTCAAACTACCAAAAAAAAAACAAACAAAAATTGAAATAGAAAAGAATGTTGAAATAATCTCATTGATGCATTACTATAATAACGATCAGATGAAGGGTAGCATAAAACAGACCTGAAGTTGTGGGAAATCCTCCCTCATAAGGAATTCGACAAAACGTGGAACAACACCAGATTGAATAACTTCCTCAATTGGAGGTCTGCGTTCTGATAAAAACATTAAATTAAAAAATTAACATCTTCTTGGCCACAAAAATTGACAAACTGAATAGGGAAGAAAACACTTTATAAGGACCCAATTATCACCTATAGATAGCAATTTACGAAACTGAGTAGTTGCCTCTAGCTGCAAATTACCATCCTCAGCCCATACACCCGCAACCATTGCAGGTAGATGTTCTAACTGCAATAAACCACAATAACAAAACAAAATGTCACAAGTTCAAGAAAAGATTCCAGATAATCCCAAATAGAATTAACAACGACGAAAATTAACTCTTACTTTATATATAGATTAGCGGGTGGCACACGCGAAGCGTGTGCAATTCAGATAACTAATAATAAAAACAAATAATAAAGAATTTAATATCATAATATGTATGTTGCTTAACTGATAAGTATGTTCTTAATGAAACTCAAGGTCTTGGGTTCAAAACCTGCTTACGTTGTGTATAATAATTTTTTTTATTTTAGCATATATAAAGTTGTCACATGGCATGAGGAGAAGAAGGCTTCACTAAGCCAACTTAAGCCTTCACTTAATAATAGTATAGATTATAATGATTAAGAAATTGTTTGAGAACGGAAAAAAAAAATATATATATATATATAGTTCAGTACTAAAAATAAAAATAAAAGAGATCCTAAATTGCAACATTATAATGGTATTAAGTTGATGAATGACATGAGTCATACAATGAAACTGTAAGAGAGAGTGATTGAGCATCGTTAGTAGTGTCATCGAATCAGTTTCGATTCATGCCTATTACATTGGCTATGGAAGCAATGTAAATTCTAAGGAGACTAATAAAAAAGTACAGACAGAACAAGAAAGTTGTCCATATGGATTGTATATATTTAGAGAGGGAAAAATCCTATGATAGGGTTGTTTAGAGATATCATATGTTGGATGTTACAGATAATAGGAGTGACAAAAGGTATATTAATGCGATAAATGATGAATGATGGAGTTGTGACCGCAATTAGATCACTTACGTACAGCAACAAATGAATTTTCCATTACTTTAGATTTAAAATAACACAAAGAAGCAGTCATGAGTGCAAACCTATTTGTCCTAGTCATGAGTGAACTAAGTAGACACATTTAGGATATTGTCCCATGGTGTGTGTTTTTCGTTTGCGAAAGATATTTTCTGAAAAAGATGAATTAACACTAAATTTTTTTTTTTTTTTTTTTGGGGGGCGGGGGAGGGGGACACTGAATCAAAAGAATATAAAATAAGTATGACTAAAATGAAATATATAGAATATAACTTTAGGCTTTAGTAACAACAAAAATAGCAAGAGATTTGAAGATAAAAAATCAGGACTACAAAAGAATGAACAATTTTATTATCTAGATTTGATTATTAAAAAGGGTAAAGAGATCTCACGTGAAGAGATGTTTCTAGCATATTATGCGATCAACAAATGCCAAATAAATCAAAGGAAAGATTTCATAGGACAATTATAAACCTAGCCATGTTTAATGGGACAAAATGTTGGACCAATAAGAAACAATGAATTAATAAAAGTATAAACTACGGTAATGGATGCTAATATGGATGTTTAGTTAGATCAAGAAAGATAAAAAATTAAAAACAAATACATCATTGAAATGGCATGATATGAGTAGAAGAACCAAGATAAGCTGAAACGTTGAAGTTGTTGCCAGAGAAGAGAGAGTGTGTTTTTTGCCTGGTGTAGTTTGCTGGCTTGATTGCCTTCAAAACCATGTAATGGTTTTCCAAGAAAACTGTGCGTCTGATATTCCAATACCATAGACTGGTTTCTTGGTAAAACCATGGGCTGGTTGTGGGATAACCAAAACCAAAGGCTGTTTTAAATATCATTATCCATGTAACCCAGTGGTGATTTTTCTTGTTCGAGCTCAGGACTTACTAAGATCTTGGTAGATTATGCTTTGCGTAGGAGCTAGGTGTGATTTCCTTCTTTGAAAGGTGTGTTGCCCTTGGGCGTGTAATGAGCTTCATTGTAATATCTCATTTTTTTGGTATAAAATTTGTAACTTACCTACCGAAAAAAAGAACCAAGATAAGCTCATAGAAAACAGACCAAACTGTTCGGTCATGTAAAACAAAAAAAAGCTTAGTAAGACTGATATGATCACTATTAATGGACATGCTATAGGGAGGGAAATGAAAAAAAAAAACGATTCTGAAGCGACCCAATTGGATGGGAGACACTAGGTTTTGGTTTGTTTTAAATAACTAACTTTACGAACCCTCGACATGACCAAACCAAAATCATGATAATTTTTGCTAAATCCACTAACAAGTAAGTACTATATGGAACCTAATCTGCGATAACAGCAATTTCCGATTATTTCAACAAGCGATCATGATTATTAAACTTGAAAAACAATAAAAATCATCAAAATCTCAATCCACACAAGTTATTCAGTAAAGAAAGGCCTTAATTGATACCTTTTTTTCGACGGCAGAGGAAGATTGAACGGAGGCAGAGAACTGTTGATTAGATTGAAGGCCTTCACGTCGCTTCTTCTGCAAGCTCTCTTCTCTTTTGTTCTTCCGGATCTCCACCATGTTGTCCTCTCTCCTCCGACGACCTTCCTCGGCATCGACGGCGACTTTGTATCGGTTGCGGCGAACCTCGGTTCTCTCGCTCGGCCTTAGCGACATGGTTGATCGATCGAATAGTAATCACAGGAAATCAAAAACCTAGAGAGAGGAACAATGGGGGAAGGGTTTGGGGGTTTTTGATTTGAACGGGCGAAAACAGGAAGCCTTATATAGGGTTAGAACGATCGGGGTGGGTCGAAGGAAATGGGCACAGATAGGGCGTTAATTACGAAGATGGAATTGAATTTTAAGGATTGTTTGGCGTGTACTATTTTAGTCCATCTGCTTATTTTTTTTAGGTCATATTAATTAATATTTTTTTTTATTTTTCTACACATATTTTTATAAAAAGTTAAAAAGTACACTTATTGATCGATCGAATAGTAATCACAGGAAATCAAAAACCTAGAGAGAGGAACAATGGGGGAAGGGTTTGGGGGTTTTTGATTTGAACGGGCGAAAACAGGAAGCCTTATATAGGGTTAGAACGATCGGGGTGGGTCGAAGGAAATGGGCACAGATAGGGCGTTAATTACGAAGATGGAATTGAATTTTAAGGATTGTTTGGCTTGTACTATTTTAGTCCATCTTCTTATTTTTTTGGGTCACATTAATTAATATTTTTTTTTTATTTTTTTACATATTTTTTTATAAAAAAGTTAAAAAGTACATTTATTTAAAACATCTAAAATTACCCCTAAATTTGAAGATGAGGGAAAAACATGACTACTATTATTTTGGGGTTGAATTTTGGTAAGACGATGATTTTTTTTTTTTTTTTTTTTGAATAAGGAAATGCTAGATGGCTTACAAAACATCTGAATGTAAAAGGGACAGGATTTAGGAGGGTTTGCTATCCAATCCGAAGGAAGCAAGCCTTTGAGGTTTAGAGAGGCTAACCAAAGAGCAACCCGATTTGTATCTCTAGGAGCCCAATAAAATGACAGATGGCATCTAAACCTAATAGTGTGAATATCATGAAAGATGACTTGGCAGTCTCACGGAGGCACCAACTCAAAAGCACTTAGCTCAATGACATACTGATTGTCATTCTCCACTTGAACATGCAAGAGGTTGAGGGTTTAAGAAACTTTGCAAACAAGTCGAACCACTCAAGCTTCACCTTGAGTTACCGAAGATGCTTGAACTATGGTAGTAATGCCATCCACTAACTTCCCCCATCCACTAACTTCTCCCTCCAGACCCTTAGAATGACTGCTAAAGATGTTTTGGAGCTATCCTTAGCAAAACTAGCATCGCAATTAATTTTGAGGTGACCTTGAATGAGAGGAGTCCACTTCAAAGAACTAGAGACACTAACAGGAGAACCAATGGGAGAATGAATGGGGGCTTGAAGGCCAGAAGATTCCCTCCAAAGGATTTAAGGGTGTATGATTAAAAATCCAATCATTTCTCGCATTCCAAATGCACCAACTAAAAATCGCAACTTTGCCCACCAAATCCAAACTACGATTCTCTAGATTACAGCATTGGTTCATAAGTGAGGCAGTCCATTCCGAAGTCGATTGGCAATGATGTAAGTCAAACCACAATCCCAAATTGCTGCCAAACCAGTCAACTCTAGTCCAAGAGCATTGAAGGAGAATATGCTCAATAGACTCAGCACATTTCCCACAGATTGGGCATAAGTTCAATGGTACACACTGCATGTAGAAGAGATTTTCTTTGGTTGCCAATCTATTCAAGCAAACCTTCTGTCACGACCCAAACCCGCCCTATAGGTTTAGCATCGTAATCGGCCAGTAATCTTGGGATTACGGAAGGCCTTTGAACAGATTAACAAAATAAAGGGCTAGAGGAAGCAATTATACAAACATATAATGTCCATAATACTGTGCAGACATATATAGGACAAAAAATTTAAAACTTTTATTCACACATATGTGACGTCATATTTACATCAGTCTTGCATCACCCAAAAACGTATAAAACAAAACAAGACTTAGCCTTATATACAGACTAGACAAAAGTCTTATCCCAAAAGAGAAAAGGGAAGAGATAAAATAGACACCACATACATTTGATTTGAATGCTTGAAACACTTGGGAACCTCTTCGGGAGGCACTTTGGGTAACTTGACAAAACAGAATTCCAGGCAACAGCTTAAAACTAGTCCCATACCTGATCACCTACATACATAAATAATACAGTGAGCTGGAGCCTAGTGAATAACAACAAAATAAAGGGTTTATGAACGATATCCAAAACAGATTTAGAAATCAGATTTCAAATCAGAACAGATTTAGATTCACATGCTCATACAGATTTCATAAACAGTTATGCGTGGTACATCTATTAGCTAACAAATCAGATTGGTCATAAAGACCCACGTGCAACGTAGGTGGTTATTAAGATCATAGTCGGTACCGACGACCATAAAGGCCAACATCAATGTACACATATAGCCATGGTATTGTTACCCCCAAGCAAGGGCCACTTGAAGATAGGCATCGGTATTGTTACCCCCGAGTAAGGGCCACGTACATATTGGCTACGGTATTGTTACCTCTAGGCGAGGACCACATGAACATAAGCCACGATATTGTTACCCCTAGGCGAGAGCCACGTGAACTAAGGATGCCACAAATTCATTTCAAAAAATTGGACATTCATTCATGGTTCACAAAATAACATTTCAAAAAACATATCATATCATTTCAGTCAAAAAGTACTTATAATCAAACATAGCTTTACAGAGTCATTACTCACAGATAGCTCCGGTAGCAGAACAGATCACGTGGACAGAACAAATTGATCAGGCAATGCTAGCACGTGACCTACACAAACACATGACAGATACGCTTGAACATTTGTCCCAAAAGTTCTTAACTTATCATTCTTCTTTCTTAGCCTGTGTTTCTAACTTTTATCCCCATTATAGTTACTTAATCATGGCCTAAGAAGGCTTTAGATGCAATGAAGATGCAAGGATGCACTTGGAAAACACTTAGTAAAATTTATGAAATAGGGTAATTCTCTCGAGCGCAACTTTCTTCGCTCGAGCGAACCCCTTGGTTTGCAAAAGTATTAAGAGCTCTTATTTTACGCTCGAGCTTAGCTTCCTTCACTCGAGCCAAGGTTCAAAACAAAGGATGGTCGCTCGATCGCAGGTTTTGTCACTCGAGCCAAGACTCGTGTCTGCAAAACTTCTAGGAGCTTGCATTCTTCGCTCGAGCGCAGATTCTACCACTCAAGCGAAGCCTGCAAATTCTGAAATTTCCAGATAGCTTTATAAGCTCTAAAACTCAATTCTAATGCACCTAAACACATTCTTTTGGGCCAAAACTCAAAAAAATACTTGTGAACTCATAATATATTGTGAATTGAAATCATTTCACAAAATCAAGCCCAAAAGCATTGTCAATTGCTCAAAACTGTAACAACCCTCATACTGCTTACCGAATAATGACTGATTGATTACCGATAACCGTCGATTACCGTTAAACTGAATTGATTATGACTGATAATTGGACTGATTAAAAGTACTGAACTGACTGACCGAAATTGAAACTGAATTGGATGAATATATTTGTTTGAATTGCATTCTATCTGTTGACTGTCTGTTTGATCTGTTCATGTCTTTGTGTTTAAACTGCTAATTGAAAGCCTTATCGGCGGCCGAACTGGGGAATTGATTGATGTTTTATGATCCTTATAATTAATGTGAATTTATGGTGTATCTACCTGAAACCTGATTAGGTATGACTAATTAGATTAAATGTTGATCAATTGCATAAGTTTGACTTAATTACCAAACTAGCCTTAATGGCCACTCAATATATAACATCTTGGAGCCTCATTGCACTCACACGTACACATTCCATCAGCTCATCCCTTAGACTCAACCGACCAAGTAGAGAGAGAGAGAGAGAAACTTGAGTTGATCTTGGATTCATCTTGAAGAATTGCTTGGGAATTGAAGTATTGGTTTCATGATTGAGCTCCTAGTCTTGCATTGGAGACCTAAGGTAGAGCGATTACCCTCTTGTTTATCTTGTTCTTGCATGAGTCATGTCAAAATTGAAGATTGAGCCATGTTTTAGTTCATACATGTTGATATAGAGCATGATTCATGCTTGCATGTGTTCTTGGTTGAATTTGGAGTTGAATTCATGGTAAATGGTGCATCCATGTTCATAATTTTGTAAAGGTCCATGTTTTCAACTTATCTTTGGACCAATTGGCTCCTTGGAGCATCAAATTGAAGCTTTAAAATGATTTGAATTCATGCATGTTGCATGTTCATCTTGTTCTTGAAAAAAAAGAGTTTGAAATTGAGTTTGAATTAAATACCCTTGGGCTTTGATTTCTCAAATTGAGCTTTGCACCATGTTATTCTATGTGTTTATAAATGTTTTCCAGAAAATGGGCCCAAGAGGATTGGTTTTGATGCATTTGAATGTGAGTTTGAGCTTGGAGGTGCAATCTGGAATTCCCAGATTCTGCACTTCTGCTCAAGCGGGGGAAGTGCCGCTCGAGCGTGGAATCCGAGCATCCAGTATCTCTGCACTGTTTTACAGTCCGCTCGAGCGGAGGATTGAGCGCTCGAGCGGAGTCATGTCTCAAGCTCGAGCGGGCGTCGAGCGCTCACCGCACCGTCTCTCACCATGTCGGCGACGGCTTCTCCCTCACCGTCGTTCCTCACCGCAGCTCCTCCTCTCTCCCTCTCACGGTATCTCCTTGTCTCTCTCTCTCTCTCTCTCTCTCTCTCTCTCTCTCTCTCTCTTTTTATTTTGTTCTCTGTTTATTGATTTTGTTCTTCAGATCTGAAAATGATGAAGATGAAGATGAACATGTTGATCTGTGTTGATGAAGGTTTTTGATTTTTTGATCTGTGTTTGATTTTTTGATCTGTTTGTTGATGAACATGTTGGTCAAGGTTTTTGATTTTTTGATCTGTGTTAGATCTATTTGTTGATCTGTGTTAGATCTGTTTGTTGATCTGTTGTTAAAAATCTCTCTCTCTGTTTGTTGATAAACATGTTGATCAGGGTTTTTAATTTTTTGGTCGGGGAATTTCGGGGTCGGGGAAACCCGATCCCCGTTAGGGGACGGGAACGGGGGCGGTTATGGGTTTCCCGTCGGGGATCGGGGCCGGGGACGGGGATATTTCCACCATCGGGGATCGAGGACGGGGAGTGTGATCCCCGGCTCCA